GAATTAGCACTACATGATACAGGAAAAAGAAATTTTAAAAGTAAATATGATACTACAGAAAGCCATTAGGTAAGACTTCTTTCACAAACTATGTATTTCAACTGAATATAGAAAAGTGACTGATTAGCATGATTACTTTTGTAGTTTTTCTATAATTATTTTAGTGATTCTGAAATTACAAACCTAAAAAAATCACTACTATAGAATAACAAACCTGACATTCACTCATATTGCTTATAACTTTCAAGGCATAAACAAGGCTCTGCTTCCCTATTTTAATACTATCACTAATGTGTAAATCTTACAATTGAACAAATTTCAAGACAAAATGGCTTTGTTTCATTGTTCTCATCCCCCCATTAATGTGTTATTTAAATATTCTACCAAGATGTTTCTCAACACAAATGATCTAAAAGATTTTTTTAGCTTCATTAATAGGGTACATTGCTTTTAACTTTCAATAAAAGAACAGTTAGAACCTTTTATCAAGCTATTATACATTTAAAGTCTGTACGTTTTAAAATATTTCCAAAAATAAAAGTTTTAAATAAAAGCTAAGAAACATGCTGATTAGTGTGGTAAATAGCATACCTTCCCTTAATCTTTAAAAACTAAAATGAATTACTTCTAAAAAAGGTGATTTTTAAGCCCCTATTTTCTTGCTCAGCAAACAGCAAAACTTCTCATGATTAAATCCTATGAGCCAAAATTCTTCCAAGTCCTGTTCTCTCTGTTGTAAAGCACAGTTTATAAAACTTGAGCTATTCACTTTGTCTACTGACATACTGTCTCCAAAAACAAACTCTTAAACTCATAACAGGTTTTACCCTCCTATTCCAAAACAAGCAAATGAATATACTGTAAAATGTTTGACAATTACGGTAACATAAAATTGTGCACAGGATACCAACTACAAGAATCTTCCCATTTCTCTTACGAGGTTGTGTTTCCAGACATTACCACACATAAACTACTTACCATGCCAAGGAGGAAATGCATAATATAACTCAAAATTAAAGCAATTTTAAATCTCTACTCTTCGTAAGAACTGTGGGCACACCAATCACTTCAACAGTGAAAGAAAGATCTGAGAATGTCAAGAAATAATGGTAAAGGAGAGGTGCTCTGTTCACTAACAAGTATTTAACTTCTCTGCCTATCAAGTTCCTAGTTAATAAACAAGAATACCCACTTCACAGTGTTGCTGCAAGGATCAAATGAGTCCTAGCATGAAAATGATTTGCCTGGTAAAAGGAACATAACAAGCACTCAATGAATGCCAGCTCCTTCCTCCCTTAATTCTGGGGCCTCTGTTCTTTGTTCTCTCAACTCATTCCCCAGATGACTCAGCCTTCTCCTAACTGTTATTAACAAATACTGACAACTACTGCATCAATCAAAGTCCTGATGTGTACACGCATGCCCACAGTGTGAGAAGCCACCTGTTCCCTGCCCCCAAGATACACAGGCAAGACGGGCAGAGGAAGAGACTCCACACCTCTGACTTCCACTGCAAAGACCAGCACTCAGGGTAGGCAAATCTCCCCAGGCTTCCAACTACCTCTGGGAGATTTGCAGTGCCATCTCAAAAGGATTAAAATTAAACTCATCATTATCTCCTTAAGAACCAGGCCTCCTTCTTGCCCCTTTTCTAATTGTGAGTGGTGTCCAACAGAGAGTAATCCTTGCCCTATTCTTATCTAAATATCAGGTCTACCTTCATAATCTCTGCCTCATTTTCTGTTCCACTGTCATCACTGAAGTCCAGGTCAGGATTTCTCAATCTCATCACCACTGACATTTTAGGCCAGACAATTCTTTGTTGAGAGGACTGTCCTGTGCCCTGCAGGATTGTTTAGCAGCACCTCTGGTCTCTATCCACTAGATGCCAGTAGAACTGCTCCCTCCCCGCAAGTTATGACAAGCAAAAATGTCTCCAGGCATTGCCAAATATCCCATGGGGGGCAAAATCACCTCGCCATTGTCTTCCCCACTCCCACATTTGAGTACTATGGCCCCCGTCCTCCCACTTCCTGCAGTAATCTGTCCCCAAATTCATCTCCAGTTTCCCTCCAACTCCTGTTGCACTGATCTTGTAAAGCACTACTTTTATGAGTCATTTCTCTTACATTTACAACTCGCTGTTACTTCACAATTAACTCAAAGCTCTCCACCCAGCCTTGGTAATCTGGCCTCAATTAAACATTATCCCACAAAGCACCTCACATGCATCTACCCAGCAGCCCTGCAAGAACAGACCTGTTCATCCAGCTCCTTTGCTAGTCTACTGCTGTCAGCCTGGTTTGGATGCCCATTACTCAGCATCTGTTTCAGACCACTGCACAAGCTTCCTCCCTGTGCACCTACTTTCTTTCTCACTCAACATCAAAAGCTACCAATGAGTCTCCATTACCTACTGAAATACGAAATCTTCTGCCTGCTCTTTAGTCTTTCCCAATATGGTCTCTTTTCACTATATGTTCCATTGTTTCCAAAACATACTCCAGCTTCAGCAAATCTGTTAGTACTTGAAAAGGTTCCTACACTTTTCACCTGTGGTCATGCGTTCTTCTCTGCCTGGAAGTCCTCTTCATCCCACTGCCCTCCCTCCATACTAATTTGAAAACCATCTGAATTAAATCAAGGAGCCTTTCCTGATCATACCTCCTTCACACCTCTCCTATGATATTCACATTCTGCTTTATGTTACACCTGTGTATTCCTGTAGTTTACAAAGTCCTTGAGAGCTTCTTCTCTTTTGATGCCCTGCAATGCCCAGCCCAGTGCTAAGTAGATAACGCAATAACACACATGAATTGACCCAAATTTTTCCAATTTAGCAATGGAGGGTTGTGTTTGCAGACAATCCAAAACTCTTTAAAGGAAATTAAGTCCATATTCCCCTTTGTCTCACATTTTATGTCTTAGGCCAAATTTAACTGAATTGCTTTCAAGATGCCCAGAATGCTATTTAGTATATATCACTGAAAGAATCCTGTTTCAGGATTCCTACAGCTTCCAACCTGCAACTGAATCCTGAAGATGCTGTTTAAGCTCTTTGTACAAAAAGACAATAAAAACTAATTTGTAAATGTTAACAAAATTAAGCAAAATCTGAAAATAACTTGGATTACACTAACCATGTTCAACCAAAGGATTACACTAACCATATTTTAGACAAAGGTTAACACTAATTTATTAGGATAATGTGTTATCCTAAATAACATATTAAAAGTCCTAAAGTCTCTGTTCACCATTAAAAATACAAAAGTCAGTTTATTTCAGCTTCCTCCCATCCCAAAGACATAAACCAAAATCGAACATGGCAGGTTTCTCTGTAATTTTAGTTCCAACTGACTTGAAAGTATGTTTTGTTATTTCTACAAAAAAGAGTATCATTAATGAGCATGATCTGACCAGATCTCTTTCTGTAAGTCTAATTCCAAAGCCACATGAAGAGAGTACAGTACCCCCACACTGTTACCACCATTCTTTAGGGGTCAGCAAACAACAGGTCGTTTTGTAGGCTCCTGAGCTAAGTATGGTTTTTACATTTTTAAAGGGTTGTAAAAACAAAAACAAAGAATATTCGAGATACTGTATATGATGAGCAAAACCAAAAATACTCTTTGTTCCTTTCAGCAGCATGAATTTGACACTCCTAGTTGTTGGTATGTAAGACACCCAATTTTCACTCCCAAGATTTAAAAAAGCAATTATTAAACAGAAAATTATGCAAAAAGACACAACTCATTCAAGGTAATCGTAGTTCATGCATAGGTAACTCCTAAATCAGAGAGAGGCCTGTGTGGACATTTTTATACTTCCCAGAATTTCTGTTAGGATGAACTTGACTCTCACTGTATAGATGAGTACACTTAATGCTTTTGCAAAGTTAAAATGCTTGGCCCAAAGTCCCGCACCTAGTTAAGGTTGGAGTCAGAGACACAGGCCTCAAAACTCCCAACTCAGTGCTTTCTGCAGCACACCACATCATAACTATGCATATGACTTTAAGTTTTGGAGATCTGGGTAACTGGCTTGGATGGTCATAAAGATGAAAGCTTCAAACCTGTTCCTCATATACAATTTAGAAGACTCTTACTAGCAATTATGAGTCATTAAACAGAGCAACACTAATGATCACCACATACATTAGGTAAGAACTTTGGGAAGCCTATTTTTAAAACATGTGATAAAGCTTAAAATTTATTCTGTTTGCACCTCTAGATTTGATCAAGGTAGATAGCAAAAGCTCAATACTTAACTCCTAACTCCAAATCCACAAGTTTCACCAAATGTTTCCAAACGCCAATGTTAAACTTCAGTTTACATCAGCTACACCTTCTATAGCTATTTACAAGTTACTTTCAGATCTACTTGCAAAGTACTAGCTAGAGTTCAAACGTTTTATTTCCCTAAGAATTTGGCTTCCTTAAAAAAACCTGCTTCGATTCCTAAATCTGTAAAATTAACTTTATCGTGTAACCTCAGTTAATTCAAGAATTAAACATTTTACCTATGTTGATAACTTTACTACTCTATAGGATATCCGAAGAGCTCTGTATACCCCAGGATCTAGGATCCAAAGACATGGTAACACTACAAGATCCTTCATCTGAAGTTGCTCTTCGGTGTTGAAAAATACGGATTTTGAGGGGCAGCCGAGAGATACAGGGCTTAGGCTCTTCAGAGAGAGAGAATACACAGACCCTCCCTCCTCTCACTATATGTCTTTGCATGACTTTTGTCCTCTAAACGCAACCCCGCCAGCCCCACCCCGACCAACACCGCGACACGAGTCCCGGCTGCCCAGGCACCTGCGGCCCCTGCTCGCAGCGGGGGAGCCCGGAGGACCCTGGCAACCAACAGCCCTTCTGGAAACGGCGCCCACTCCCACCCCTCGAAGGCGGGCGGTAGGAGGCCCGGGCCGTAGGGAAGCTGCCCCTCGGCCGCAGGCAGCCCCTGGACGCGGCCGGGGGCGCGGGCGGCGGCGTTACCTGGAGGACCACGTCGTTGGGCAGCTGCGCGGCCCGGAATAGCTCCAGCACCCGACCATTGGCCGCCACCTTCTTGGTGCTCTCGATGTCGCAGTAGGAGAAGAGATCCGAATAGTATTTCTGCTCCGCATCGCTCAACGTTAAGCCTTCCATCTTCGCCTCCGGCTCACGGCCGCCCTGCCCCGCATGCAACACCCGCGGCCCGGCCCCACGACACCGGGACAGCAAGAGCTGCACGCGGCCTGGCGTCCTCCTCTCCCCTCAAAGCCGCTGGGAGCCCCAGTCCCGGCCTCACGCGCGCGGGGTGCGCCCGAGCAACAGGGCCCGGAGGTCGCGAGCAGGGGGCTCGGCTGGGCTCGGCGCGCCGCCGCCTGAGAGGCCCCGCGCAGCCCCAGGCTCAGCGCGGCGCGCGGCTCGGCTCGGCGGCTGCGGGAGGAGGCGGGGGCCGCGGCGGCGCGAGGCAGACGGGCTCCGCCACCTCCTCCGCCGCGGGTTCGAGGCTCCCCGGCGCTTCCCGCCTCGATTCCTCTTCCGTCCACGCCCCCGGAGCGGCAGCACTTCCCGAAAGTTGTGAGGCTTCAAGTCTAAAGTTTTGGGGGTTCTGGGCTGAGCGCGGCCGCCGCTCCGCCTACCTCCGCCGCCATAAAAAAACCTGCTTCGATTCCTAAATCTGTAAAATTAACTTTATCGTGTAACCTCAGTTAATTCAAGAATTAAACATTTTACCTATGTTGATAACTTTACTACTCTATAGGATATCCGAAGAGCTCTGTATACCCCAGGATCTAGGATCCAAAGACATGGTAACACTACAAGATCCTTCATCTGAAGTTGCTCTTCGGTGTTGAAAAATACGGATTTTGAGGGGCAGCCGAGAGATACAGGGCTTAGGCTCTTCAGAGAGAGAGAATACACAGACCCTCCCTCCTCTCACTATATGTCTTTGCATGACTTTTGTCCTCTAAACGCAACCCCGCCAGCCCCACCCCGACCAACACCGCGACACGAGTCCCGGCTGCCCAGGCACCTGCGGCCCCTGCTCGCAGCGGGGGAGCCCGGAGGACCCTGGCAACCAACAGCCCTTCTGGAAACGGCGCCCACTCCCACCCCTCGAAGGCGGGCGGTAGGAGGCCCGGGCCGTAGGGAAGCTGCCCCTCGGCCGCAGGCAGCCCCTGGACGCGGCCGGGGGCGCGGGCGGCGGCGTTACCTGGAGGACCACGTCGTTGGGCAGCTGCGCGGCCCGGAATAGCTCCAGCACCCGACCATTGGCCGCCACCTTCTTGGTGCTCTCGATGTCGCAGTAGGAGAAGAGATCCGAATAGTATTTCTGCTCCGCATCGCTCAACGTTAAGCCTTCCATCTTCGCCTCCGGCTCACGGCCGCCCTGCCCCGCATGCAACACCCGCGGCCCGGCCCCACGACACCGGGACAGCAAGAGCTGCACGCGGCCTGGCGTCCTCCTCTCCCCTCAAAGCCGCTGGGAGCCCCAGTCCCGGCCTCACGCGCGCGGGGTGCGCCCGAGCAACAGGGCCCGGAGGTCGCGAGCAGGGGGCTCGGCTGGGCTCGGCGCGCCGCCGCCTGAGAGGCCCCGCGCAGCCCCAGGCTCAGCGCGGCGCGCGGCTCGGCTCGGCGGCTGCGGGAGGAGGCGGGGGCCGCGGCGGCGCGAGGCAGACGGGCTCCGCCACCTCCTCCGCCGCGGGTTCGAGGCTCCCCGGCGCTTCCCGCCTCGATTCCTCTTCCGTCCACGCCCCCGGAGCGGCAGCACTTCCCGAAAGTTGTGAGGCTTCAAGTCTAAAGTTTTGGGGGTTCTGGGCTGAGCGCGGCCGCCGCTCCGCCTACCTCCGCCGCCATTTACTGCGCCCCGGCCCGGCCCCCGACGCGGCCGCACCAACACTGACAGCCGCGGCCGCGCTCCAGACCCGGATGTGAGGCCGGGAGGAGAGAGCGCGAGAGGGAGAGAAACACCCACCGGGCTGGCTCGGCCGCTCCCGGGAGAGGGGCCGCAGCGCCCCCTGGTGGCCGGAGCCGCGCGGCGGACGGGCGAGTCGCCCTGAGCGCAGGGCGGGCAGCAACTGGGAGCCCCCGGGAAGCGGGTCCCGGAAGGGGTGGGGGGACAGCACGCCCCTCATTAAGACCAAGAGAACTTAAGTACGGGTTGCAACGCTTTGCAGTTAAATTGTTTCAAAGTTTCTGGCACCAAACGTTTAATAAACATTGATTACAAGGAGAACATTGTTCAGGTTATTATTATAATCTTTTATACCTTTTAGGTGGCAGATGTAAATGAGCGTAAATTCAACATTCCTGCGTGCTCTGAAGGACTATGGACATTCGGAACTCTCATCACTGACAGTAACGCTGCAACTTAACGCCTGCTTTTGCTCTAAGCCATGTTTACCTGCGAAACAGAATTTGCTGACTGCGGGAAAACTGGCAAAGTTTTCTTCTTTGTACAAAGTCATTCTGGTCACCAGGAGTTTATATTATCAACTTCATAAACTTATGTAGGCCCTAGGCAGAACACAAGGAGTCCTGTTCCTCCTAATTTCCTCCTTTATAAAAATCATGAATTGCACTGTCCTAATCTGAGCCTTTCTGAGAAAGGAGATTCTTAAAATAGCTCTAGTAGAATATCTTAAGAGTTTTTACTTAGCAAATAGGAAATACTTTAAAAACGGCAGCTAAGGCAGAAGTATATGGATTTTCCAAATTGGGTTTTTATTTGTTTTCTACATGTACTCCCCAGAGTGCTGATCATACCAAGGGCCCATAGTTAGAAATTGTTACAGGTTCACAATCCCCTTTATCTGCAATTCTAAAATTCAAAGAGCTCTGAAAACCCAAAAGATTTTTTGTGACACTTGGGCAGCAAAACTTGCCCTACTTCCTTTGGAAGCAACATCTTAACTTGCAGGCCATTTGTATGTAGTCTCTTTATGTTCCACTTAGTGTCAATTTATTTATTCATTTTACTCCAGGCTTTAATGGGATGTGAATAGATACACAGTTACAGGTATTGTATTACCTTTCTTTAAAAAAAAAAAGATAAGGAACTATGGAGTTGTAAATATTTTCTAACTCTGACTAGTAACATTTTGTGTGTACACATATATAACATGTCATCAACTCAAGTTTCTCTTTCTGTGAAACTTTCTATTGTCACAGTGCCACCACACATACCTCCACAAAGCAACTGCTGGAGGTGATCAGAGCCCCACAGAAGGCCTGTCTTCCAAAGGTGTAGATGGGAGGAGTACAGGGGTAGGGACTGGTTCACAATTGCCTACGGCATCTTTTTCTTCACCACATTTCCTAGTCTTGAAGGTCTTTCCTACCCCAGTAACTTTGTTTCCAACCACCTGAAACACTCTTCCCACAATCCTGTGCATGACCAGTTCTCACAAACCTGTCACTGTTCATATATCACCTCCTCAGAGAGACCTTCCCTTCAGCACCTGATCTAAAACAGCCTTACCACCACACTCTATCTCCTTATCTCAATTATTTTTCTTTACAGTACTTTTCACTGCTTAACAATATATACCTATCTACATTTTTAATAGTAATTATTGAGTACTTAACTATGCTTCAGGCACACTAAATTACCACATTAATCACAACAACCCTATGAAGTAGTCAAATCCTATTAGTATTTTTATTTTACAGATGAGGAAACTGAGGCACAAGTGGGTTAAGCAACTTGAAATCCATTGCTATTAAGTGTCTAGATCTGGGATTCAAAACCCAAGTAGTTTCAACTCTCAAATCATGACCTTACAGAGCCTTTCTTATGTTTATTAAGTCCCTCCAGCTTCCATCTCTGTATTTGCCAGAAAATATTTTTTCATTGCCATGGCTCCAAGGCTTAGGACTGGCATGTAATGCTCATCAAGAATTATTTGTTAAATGAATGAATAAAGAAATGAGCTAATAATGTGATGAAACCATCGATACCCTAGTCTCCTGGTTTGGTTCCTGTATCTTCCAACTCCACTCTTCTTTAGCAACCTAACATACTTACAGATTTGCTTCACTTCCACATTTGGGGATTCTGAAGTTTCCTTGTCATTACAACGTGCTATCTTTTTTGTTCTGGTTTCACATTCCTTGAATAAGCCTTCTCATTATAACCTTCAGGTCTTCTCTCTTAATCCCAACACATATTTCATGTATTCAAAAATATTCTTTGAGCATCTTGTGCCAATGTAAAACAGACTGCATGATCTTGTTCCCAGGAATCATCCGTCTAGGTACCTTGTTGTCAGCCATGTCAAGGGCACTCTGCTATCACTCTGGATTCTTTCATGAATTCATTGCCCTTCCCTTGGCAAATGCTGATGCTGAATGGGCCACAACTGGTGAGTTACAGGATGTTGAGGGGAGCTCTGCTTCTGGTCCTATTGCTCTGTAAGACCTTCCTAAAATAACGGGACATGGAGTGGGAGTTTTGCTGTTGACAACCAAATAAGAAGTTGAGGACAAAGAGTCCCAGGGACCACACATTCTAGAAAAACAACAAAGACAGACCCTGTCCTGTACGACTTACTGAGAAGCAGCTGAATAGCCCCGACTGCCAGCACCCACTGCCTCAGCCCACAGAGGAGCCCTGAACATCACTTAGTTTGTGAGGACCGCTATGTGCGACAGCCTCTCCAAACAAGCACCTACTCCCCCAGAGGCAGGAAGGAGCTCATGAAGTTGAGGAGGCCTGCATGGGGCTGAGGGGCGATGGAGCTTGCCATCTTGGCTCCCAGCTGCACACCTGGGTGGGCTTGGTGCAGAATGATTGACAGTTTCAAAAATGAAAGCAATTTTTCTCTATGTCACTTAAATTTATATTTCCAGGTATAAAAGGAAAGAAATAAAATTTAACACGTGAGTTCTCTGAGCTCAAGTCTAATTTCTCTCCTGTGCATTTCTAGACATAATCAATTTTAAAGTGACATCACGAGAAAGCTATTTTAAAACAGATGGTCTATGTTATATAGCTACAAATTTAAAAGATGCTGATTTTCAGGTAAGATCAAGTAGTTGCTTCCTGCCAGCAAATGCATCAACTGTTCCTTAACTAGAAACTTCTAGGTTTTTAAAATAAATTACATACAGTGAAATTCATTGTTTCTGCTATACAGTTCTATAGGTTTTGATAAATACATACAGTCATGTACCCACCACCAAAATCGAGATGCAGAACCATTTCATGACCACCCAAAATTCCTTTGCATTGTCCCTTTTTTACTCAACTCTGCCCTACAGCCTCAGCCTCTGGCAACCACTGATTTGTTTTTTTGTTTCTATGCATTTGCCTTTTCTAGAATGTCATATAAATGAAATCATATGGCATGTAGCCTTTTGAATCTGGGTTTTCTTCACATAGCTTAGTGCATTTGAGATTCTTCCATGTTTTTACTTGTATAATGAGTGGTTCATTTTTTTTTTTAGATAATTATTTTTTATTGAAGGGTAGTTGACACACAGTATTACATTAGTTTCAGGTGTACAACACAGTGATTGAACATTTATATACATGATAATTCTAGGTACCAGCTATCACCATAATGAGTGGTTCATTTTTTATTGCTAAATAGTATTCTATTGTATGAATGATTATAATTTGTTCATTCACTAGTTGAAGGGAATTTGGGTTGCTTCCAATTTGGGATGATTATTAATAAAGACACTATAAACATGTGTGTACAGACTTTTTGTGAAGTTAGGTCTTCATTGTTTCCTTGGGCAAGTAAATAAATAAATCTGAACATGTGTACAGATTTTTGTGTGAACTTAGTCTTCTTTTTTTCTAGAAGTGGGATTGTTGGGTCATGGCATAAGTATATGTTTAACTTCCAAAGAAATTTCCAAACTGCTTTCAAGATGGTTTTACCGTTTGTATTTCCACCAGCAATGTAGTATATTTTAGTTTCTCTACATCCTTACAAACTAAAGTGATTCCATTGGGTATGTAGCAGTATCTACTGTGACTTTAATATGTATTTCCCCAGCAACAAATAATATTGAGCATCTTTCACATACATATTTGGCATCTGATATGATGTGAAGTGTTTGTTTAAAACTTTTCCCATTTTTTATTGGGCTGTTTTTATTTTTTCTAATTATGGAGCTTTAAAAATTATTTATACATTTTTGATATAAGCTCGTCAGATACATGATTTGCAAATATTTTCTACAGTCTGTGGCTTGCCTTTTTATTCACTTAGCAGTATCTTTTGCAGAACAGAATTGCTAAAATTCGTATTAAGTCCAACTCAGAGGTGGCCCTAAAAGACATAAGCAAGCAGAAATCTTTTGGAGAGGGTGCAGTTAGTGCACTTGGCCATTCACTTTGTGTAAGAGAGGTGGCCCGAAGAGTGACAAATGCATGGGTTGGCAGGACAGGAGCTTGGAAGCAGGCAGTTTGGAAGATCACGGAGAAGTAGTAATAGGGGGAAAGCATGTGGTTGAACCTGTGGGAAGGAGCATGAAGTGTGAATATCATTGTATTGTGTTTTCACACCTACCAGAAAGCTTCCACTGCAGGGGAAGCACAAGAAAACCAAACAGATAAACTGACCTGGCTAGTTGATGTCAGGCAGCCTCTGCAGCCACCCCAGTATTGGCATATTAGCTCAGGGAATGAATAGCTATGGTGGCAGAAGTGGAAGGTCTATGTGGGCCCCACATTTTGTGTTTCCACTTACCAAGGCCAAATGTCCCGTGCACCAGCCACAGCTGAGCTCAGCTCAGCTCAGCTGGTGTCAGGGCAATATCAGGCTGAGTTTCTGATGCAGCATCACTTCACCAGGAGACCAGTCGGACAAGTCAATGTATCTTTATTTGAATCAAATATATTCTGGACATAAGTTTACTTTCCTATGCAGAAGACCTCAGCCAGAACCACTGTCTGAGAGATAACTGTTGGGTCTAAGAGCATTTTTGTCACCAACCTAGAATCTGCATAATGTCACTTCAGACCAAGAAACCCACTTCAGGCCAAGAGAAGTGCATTAGTAGACACATGACCGAAGGATCCACTGACCTGCCACCTTAGTCAGAGCCTCTGACTTCAGAGAGTAGAGAATGGCATTTTGAGGGTGCAGCTGATGTGTCAGCTTGGAGACAATATTCTGTGAATGAGACCCCATACTCTACGTCACAGTATGC